AAAAAAAAAAAAAAAAAAGGAAAATGTAAAAAAATTCCAACATTTCGTGAACGCGTCAATCTATTATAAATCGACATCGCGTGACATTGAATGATACCAGAGCTCTTTATTTCCAACGAATATCTCGAGTTGCTGTTTTGACAGTCGGAAATAACGGCGATTTTCGGCACGACCGATTTTACGACACGGTCGTAACGTTAGATCGACCGTATATAAGTTAAAAGAAAAAAAATGCATTACGATGAGTTTTCTTTTTTCGAAAAAACAACTTTGTTTCAGGAGAACAACACAAGATCCAAGACATGTCTCGTCTCGTTCTTGTCTCGTTCCTCTTTTTGGTAATTTTCTCCGTGTGTAAGTAGATTTCGATTTCGAAATCCGCGTCCACCTTTCATTTCATTATTTCGGAATAAAGTTACATCCAATCTCTTGGAAATACATATATCTATAATGCGAAATAATAAAAACGTTTGATATAATTTAATGCTAATTAAATAATTTTTATTAAGAAATTACTCGTTACAAAGTTGTACACAAAAAAATATTTTAAGTGTAATATATATAATTATTTTAAATGATTTAGTGATATTTTAATAAATATAGTGGTTGGAGGATTTGGTAAATTGAATTGTCCAAGAAATGAGATCTTCACCAAATGCGGTGCACTGTGCCAACCTTCTTGCGCAAAACCTGATCGTAAATCTCCTTGCATCTATGTTAGTAGCGTTATAATTTTGAAAGACGTTGAATATATGTTGAACATGTAATCCATACGGTTCATTGTTTTTATTTCAGATATGTGCGTCAGGATGTATATGTAAATCCGGTTATTTGAGGAATAAAAATAAGGTATGCGTTCCGCGATCTAAATGTTTCTCAGGATGACTTTTATAATTATTTCATGATTATTTTATGATTGTCCAATAATTATTGTATTGTATTTTATCGTTTATAAAAATTGTTATGTTATTATTTTATCAGAAATAAATATATATGTATTATTTTCATCAGTCTTTATTCATTTTCATAAAAGATGAATGGAACAATATCAGGTAAAGTTAAATAAAATTACTATATTTTAATGATTATTCTTTCCTCCGAGTAAGATAACCTCATTTTCTCTCATTTTCACTTCCCTCCTCTTTATTAAACGTTATTCCAATGGAGTCTTTTATTATCCCGTCCATCTTATAAACATAAAAATTCACCCATTAATTAGCAGGAATAAAATACTTTTTAATTCGGTCTAGAAAAATATATGACATTCTTTGAAATGAATGCGACAATGTGCACGTATCAGAAAAATTCCATTCCGTTTGACGAAAGAAAGCAGAAGAAGAGATTGCGAGAAAACATCACAAAACATAGAACGAATAAACAAATTCTTCAACAAATTTAATCGTTCGTGACAATATTTTTATATATGTAATAATTACATGCATAATTTGTTAATCGACGAAGGATTTAATTATTCGAGTAAAGATTAATCGAAATTGTTGTTTGTGATATTAAATATCAAAGGCGTGATTATTATCTTATTGTCAAATTTTCGTTTGAACGTCGAATCATTTAATTTATTCAACCGTAGTTTCTCGGGTGAATGGCCAGGGAAAATGGCGGCTGACTTATCGGGATTATTCAAATGAATCTAACAATGAGTATAAGTTCAAAGACACCGTCTCTGGAGGTATAATTTTTTTAGATTTAAACTTCGTTATCAACCTTCGTTCGTTAAGATTATTATCGCAATAAATATAATTCAAAAAGACACAACAGGAACAATAAATGAAATTCTTAAGAAGAATGGTAAATTGTCACACGATATCCATGGATAAATAAATGGATATATAGATAAAAAAATATGGATAGAATTTGTTAATCT